GAAGACCAGATAACAAAAAGCATTCTTTGGAATGTTTTCTATTTGTTTTTCTTTGATCTTCAAAAATATCAAATTCAAAAGTAGATAAATAAATGAACCATAAAAAAAACTTAATCATTTGGAATTCTAAAGTCTAAAAAGGAAAGAACATGCAGAATATTTTCGAAAAGTTCAGTTATTAAAACATTGAATTGACTGCCGTGGAGTTTATACATCAATATCAAAGAATTTGGTTAACTTGTTTAACGACATATTAACTCCTTATGGGTCATTTAATGCCGAAATTTTATTCTCTTATGAGTTTTCGTATTTTTATTTTTCCAAATATGTATTGCTGGTAAATATTTAATTTTTTTTTTACTATAAAAATGTATTGCTGTTAGTTTTTTTTTTCTATTGTATTTTTATACTTTCATGTTTTGATCCCATTTTGGGGGTTCACTATTTGTCCATAGTTGTGACTCTAACAGTTGCTACCACCCTAGGTCAAGGTGGAGCTGGGAAGAACAGCAATTAAAAAAAAGGTGGTTCTACGCTCCTGAAAACCTCCTGATCATAGGCCTTGCCGCCGGATATAGTTTATCGTCATACCCAGGACGAATATCAAAGAAACATTTTCAAACATTTATTGTTTACGGTTTATCGACCATTTGTGGGTTAGTTAAAGCCAAAACATATTTTGGATTGTAAGAATAATTCTTATTTTGCGAGTGAATATTACGTTAACAATTTTTCCAGACACAAATCATACTATTTAACTCATAACTTGGAAGAAACGGAACGAATCCATTCCTTTCCCAATGGTATTTGCGCGAAAATATATGCAACAAAGTCAACTGGAATTCGAACGCAATTCTCGGATTTCTAATCCCGAGCCATTGTGCATTGCACCAACCACACATCCGCACCTAAGAAAAAAAATATTTCTTTGATATATCAATGATTACATTTTTTGCAAATGGTCACAAATGAATATTACAATTTGAACAGCCGACGGGCCATCCACACCGACATTACAAATCTTAGATAAGAAGTAAAATTCGCGTGTGCTGAAGAAAAAACTGTTTTAATAGAAAGATTTCACAAGTTTTAACCTACAGTAGCTCTGGCTGCTAGGTCAATGAATGCTGAATGTTTCCTTATAAGGAAACGGCGAATTACAATCCTCAATGTATTTTCGAAGATAGCAGAAGACAAAGATCGAATCTATATGAATTGATATTAACTTTAAGCTTAGTGGTAATTCAAATACTCTGTTCATGAAATCGAGATTATTTTTAATTAACATTCTTTAGTCGTGATAGAGTTCGAAAGCGTCTCCAAGTCCTTGTTAGAGAAGAATTATTTTCCACCCTCCAACCTCTCTCTTCCATGCGGAATGTAGCGAGTCTCTCACTACTCTATTACTACTACCATGGAAACAGAACGCCAGCTCTAACCTTCTCGGTCAAGACGCGTCATGTTATTTACAGTGTAGCAAACCACCCACATTTCACTCAAACAGCTTCTTCCCGTGAACCAATGGCCTCTGGAACAAATTCCCAAAAGGATCTTTCCCAGATCACTACAATCTTAAACTGTTCAAGTATATATTTAACAATTATCTTCCTCTTCTGTACATATAAACTATACCATAACGTAACTTTCTACCTCAAATTGTCCCCATTCCTTGTACAGGGTAAACCTTACTGAAAACCAAAAAAATACAATCTTTTTCGATGTGAAGAAGTACCAAAAAAGTTCTCGGCCCAACCAGAATGCGTTTCAGAAATGCTGATGATTTATGATTTGATTAAACTTTGGGAAGTGGATCGAATTAATAACTCTTCAGTTCTTTCTTGTATATATCGTAACTTTTTCTGCTATGTAACTCGATGGTATGTCTGGTGAGATCTTGGTCCTGGTTCCAAATGTAACCCTTCAAGTCGACGGCCGATCTCTTGCGATGATATTAAAATTGGAGATATCATCCCACTCACTGGCCTGAAATTGTACACCATTTTTCATCGGTTATCTCTTTAAACGTGATAACCAACTTGCGTCCACGAAATGTAACGTCTTTCCGTTCAAATCTTGACGTCAGAATCCTTGGACACAATATCAAAGGTAACCCTATCGTTAAGATGATCCCGGTCCTATTAACCAAATGTAACACTACAAGAGATGGACATGCTCGTGTTGTGGTCATTAGTTCGACGGCGTCCTGGACAAGAGAATCATCCGCCCACTTTAGGTTTAGAAGATTGGAAGATGCCTCAAGCTCAAGTTTGAAATGATGCAAACCCGAATCATCCACGTTCATACGTCGACAGATTCTTGAAATAAACCAGAATAGATTTAACTAGATATTAAGAGATCGTACTTTACTCTAGTTATTGAGTACATAGTTGTTTCAAACTAGCATCAGTTTTAATGCATTACGCCGATGCGCATGTGCCTGAATATTGAAAGTCTCAATCAGAACTTTAATGATTGAACGACAGTAATTTGGCTCGGCTAATTCGCCTTTAGCTACCTACTCTGAACTGACGTTCCAGTGTTTTGCACTCTTCCTCATAGCCCCCTGCTCCCGTCTAGGCCGTCCCTTTGCCTGTCTCTGTAGAACTTAGAAATGTGCAGACTCCATTTGTCTATATTGAACTAAATCGCTGCTCTTATCAAGTCAAAATGTCTATGAAGGTTGCCGAATAAGGTTCTAGACACCTTCCAGGCCAAGGGAAATTACTAAATATATAAAACCTCTGTTAATGTTATCCCAAGAGTTGAAACTCAAATATTAACATAAAATGATTAGACCACTTAATCTAGTTAAAATTAATAAAAATTTAAAGTTTAAACACACACACACACACACACACACACACACACACACACACACACGCACGCACGCGCGCATATATGTATATTTTACACTGGACATCGGGATAAAAATTTTGTTGTTAAATGGACTACCTATTCTTACTGTTATTATAATTATAGTTTAAATGATGAATACTAGAAATAAATCAATATATATGAAAGTAATATGTATATATCTAATAAATATTATAAGATTATTGTCAAATATATAAAACATATAAGACAATTTTCTATTATTGTCGTTGTTGAAACCCATTAAATGATAAATAATAGGGGGGGGATCGCCAATACAAAAACCAATATTCAACAATAAACATAAAGAAGTCAACGTTACAACTCTAAACGCTTTCTGTACAAATTCTTACAATTACAAATTTAAAAAGTTAAGGACAATACATGTGCTACTGTCATGGATTTTAACCTCTCCAATATGATTCCAATTTCCGGCATTAGCACACTGGGATGCAGGCCACCGAAATATGAAGGGCTAAGTTGTTGGTTCGAATGCAACCAGGATTACTTTTGCTCTGTCCTTTGCTTTCTTGTTTTAAGCTTTGTTCAACCTTTGATAACACAATACTATATATGTGGAATCAGCAGGAAGGACTATGTTTGCATAAGGTATTTTTTAAGGGTGATATCTGATTTGGTTTGGTTTGCTTTGCTTTATGGCATATCAACCTCAATGAGTTATTTAATACCGACAAGATTTTTATTGCTAGTAATATTTTTTTTTTCAAAAATGTGTTGCTGGCAATTTTTTCTTAAATGTATAGCTGGTAATAATTTTTCTTCAAAAATTTTTGATGGTAATAACTTTTTTACAAAGTATTTCTAGTATTAATACCTATTTTTACACTTTTTCATGTTTTAACCCCAGTTTGGAGGTTAACTATTTATCCAAAGCTGGGACCCTAACAGGTGCTATCACCCCTGGTCAGGGTGGACCTGGGAACACCAGCAATTACGAGGTAGTTTCACGCTCCTCAAAACCTCCTGATCAGAGGCCTTGCTGTTGGACGCAGTTTATCGTCTAACGCAGGACGCGGATGTAGTTTATCGTCATACCCAGGACGGGGGTGATATCTGTCATCGGGTGTCTTTTGTGTTTCCGGCAGTAGCTTCATCCCAAGAGTGCCGGATTAACTGTATATTCATTTTAACGTTTCTATCAAGGTTCTTTTATGAATGCATTCTTGCTTCGTTTGAATATTCATAGAACAATTAAACAAAGTTGTTGATAGGCGCTTGCAATAAAAGTCAAATTGAATTTTCATAGGTGTGTTTGGATAGGTGCACATATATTTAAGCAAAAGTGTATATTCACAGGTGCATATACTATGCATACATACGTTATTAAGTATAGCTGCAGACGCGTGAGATGGTATGTGGAGCTTTAAATTCCTATAATTCTGTACACCGGTAACTAGTGAGGGGTTGTAGAGTGCCGAAGTCTGATAAATGACAGCAGTGATGACCTATTGTAAGAATCCTTTCAGTTGTAAACGGAGAAATATCACTCACTTTTCATCGTTACTGTCTCTTTATCTTTGCATCTGTACATATTTCGTTTCTTTTTTATTCTTTTTAATTTTTTTTTTTTTTTTTTTTTACCTGGCAGGAATCTTTTCTCATAGATTTTTTCTCAGCATCTCCGCCTTCAGTGTTTTCTTCACGGATTTGTGCATTGTTTTAGGAATTTTGTTTTCTCTTTTTTCTTTTCTCTTTTTTGGGTGAAATAACTTCCTCTCCATCCCGCATTATCTTCCTCCATCTTTACTCTCTTCATTAATCTCCTAATATTCATCTTTTTTTCTTTCTTTTTTTTTTTTAACAAACACTCTCGTTCTCTTCTTCGTCGCTCTCCCTATTTTCACCTTCTTTTTCTTTCTTTCACTTTCTTTTTAACAAACACTCTCTCTCTCCTCTTCGCCACTCTCCCTATCTTCCTCTTTTCCTTCTTTTTCTTTCTTTCGCTATTTTTAACACACACTCTCTCTTATTCCTCTTCATCATCATCCTTACCTTGATCGTTTCTTTCTTTTTCTTTAACTTTAAACACTCTCTCTCTCTCTCCTCTTCGCCACTCTCCCTATCTTCCTCTTTTCCTTCTTTTTTTTTCTTTCGCTCTTTTTTCACAGTCTCTCACTTCTCTCTTTCCCTCTACTAACTTCCTTTTCCCCCCTATTACTCTCCCATTCACGATTTTCTATGCCTTTCATTCTCACTCCCACTTTCAATTCAACTTTTTACATCAATTTTTCTCTTGATACACCTTCCTCTCTTTCTTTCTCTCCATTTTTCTTCTCTTTATTTCCTGCTTTTATTCATTTTCTTTCTGCTTCTTACCTGTGAATATTTGTATCTCTCTTTCTTTATATTTGTACATTAAACTCATCGCGTGAAACAAATTATCCACCCCAGCTACTCCCACTTAACCAGTAGATTATATAAGCCCAACAGACAGATTTGTAGTGCGTTTTCTTTGTATAACTCGGAATCACAGACAGTGTTTCTTTGTCCGTCCCATCTACTTTGCTCTTAGCCACTTGAAACATACAAAATGACTCAACACTTGGTAAGTCAGTTAGTTTATTCTTCATTTTTCGAATTTATTTCTAAAACTTACAATTAATATTTTCAAATTAATTTGTTTCAATTGTATTACGTTCAAAACAAAGTCAGTATTGAGCAAATGATTTGATCAGGTTTTTATGTGTGCATTCTTAATTATTACTGTTATTGTGCTATTTTTATTCTTACTTTTATTATGAGCTTTCGATTATCGGTTCCAATGAACTTCATCAGGTGTCACGTTACAAATGATTTTCAAACAACTTAAATTCAGTACTTCCAGTATCTGATTTACTGAAATATTAAATACTAACTAAAAAAAAAAAATCTCTTAAGCTAAACCCTTGGTATCAGATACTTTTTCAGATATTTGAATGAAATTTATGGCTTGTATATAGGATAGGCAAGTCAGTTTGTTATGGAGTTGTAACCTATCCGTCAGGAAGTTTTTAAGTATTTACACTGAGCGAGATAAATTAAGACCTGAAATAAAATTATCATTTATTTGTACAGTGAAAAATAAAATAAAATAAAGAAATTGACGATAGAATTACCGCTATATTATTTATTAATAAAATTATACTACTAATACTAAATATTTTTCCACGCAGAAAATATTGTTTTCGAAGCATTTTATATTTCAATGATTAATATACACATTATAGACCCAAAATTTGGGGTCACCTTCTAGATTTAATAAATAGTAAATTTCATGCCTTCTTTGGTGTAATGTTATAATTTACTCTAATTACCTGCTGCAGCCTCTCTCTCTCTCTCTGTATATATATATATATATATATATATATAGAGAGAGAGAGAGAGAGAAAGAGAGAGAGACAAACAGACAGACAAACAGACAATCAGACAGACAGAACATCATCAATATAATGGAAGTATGTTAATTGTTTAGGTAAAATCTAGTCGTTTCCATATATATATATATATATATATATATATATATATATATATATATGTGTGTGTGTGTGTGTTTCAGAGAGTTTATATATCAGTAAAGGGACAATATGAATAAAGACGAAAGAAAAACTCATATATATATATATATATGTGTCTGTGTGTGTCCTCAAAACCTCCAATTCAAATGCCTTGCTACCAGTTGTAATTTATCGTCATAGCCACGACTCCTAACTTTTGGTCTATAATGTATAAGAAAATAAAGTAAATTCAGACCTGCTTAAAATGAATGATATTAGCGAGAAAAATGCAAACGCCTGTTAGAAATTAGTTTTGAAGGGAGGGAATATTTTTCTTAAGTTGTTTATAGTTTTAACACAGACACAATGTGATGTACGGCCTTGACAAGCTTAGTACGACCTTGAAAATGTCAAGGACGTCGGAATCGTTTCTGGCTGTCGGCACACAAATGCAGCTTGAAAAACGTTAATTTAAAAAGAAATCTCATCACTACAACTCTAAGTTTATCAACGGATAATTTAAAAGATAATTGATAAATTATTTTTAAGGATTTGATCAAATTGAAATCATTGCGATTTGTCTTCGTCATTTAGTTTCTTAAATATTTTCTCAATAAATTCAGGTGTTTTAATTACTTACGCGCGGTCATCTTTGTTGGTGTTATCACAACGTTTCGGCTGTTGTGTCCCCGGCCTTAATCAGTTGATATCCCTGGACATGGACAGTGAAATGGGAACAATCTACCCACGTAGGTTAAATAAAAGGTTCATTTCGAAATTCCCTTATGATCACCTGATGGAGGCAAGACGTCACAATTATCGAAACGTTGTTATAGCGGCAACAAAGCTTGGAACAACAGTCTGTGTGTAAATAATGCAAATATTAACTCTTAATCCGAGAAATTAAGACAGAAATTCGGTGTTTTAAATTTTAATAACATACAAAAATTATTTAATGATGTATTCTTCCCTGTGTCATACCATTTCAATGGGTTGACGATTATGGCCCTCTACAATTTCCTGTCCTTTGTAGCTTTTAGCAAATTTTCTCTTTTTACTATATTTCCTGAACCCTTTTTTGCCATATATTTATACACACTCGTTAGATATGATATGGGCTGTTTACCTTTGTACCTCTTGCCTTCAATATGACCTTTGAGTGTCAAATTTTCCATGCAATCTTTAATCATTATGTGCCCTTTAAATTGTAACTGTTTCTTTCTGGTGTAGGTGTATTTTTTTTATTCCATCTCCTCTAAATCTTTGTCGTTGCTCAAATCTTCTGTTCATTTCTGTTGCTTCAAGTTTTTTCTTTATCTGCGAAGAGATTGTCTGGCATATAGAAGGACTGACATTATGTAATAGTTCAATACATGTTTCTTTCTCTCGTTAAATTTTTCTGTTTCCTAATCCTTTGCTTAGCTTTTAGAAAGCATTTTTCGCTATCCCAATGTCCTTTCGGATTTCAACGTCGCATTCTCCGTCCTTTGTTAAAACACTTCACAGATTTTTAAATTATTGTACTTGTTTGATTTTGGTATTTTCAATATATATATATATATATATATATATATATAAATTACACACACAAGAAAACCGATATGTAAATAATATAAATATACAAATAGAAAAATGTACTAATATGCGTAGGATTCAACTATAATCAGAACTATCTGAACCACCAAGCAAGATAGATACATTAACTGACTGTGATAGATAGATAGATAGATAGATAGATAGATAGACTGAGATAGTGCGTCATATAGGAATAAAGTGTCGCTGCCGACACTTGGGTTTGAACACGGGTCGCCAGGAAAAAAATATATGGGAATTAGCGGCATCTGACCGAGTATTGTTCGTCGGCGTTACTATTATTGTATCTGCAATTTACAAAGTCTCTCCTACAAACGGGCATTACAATAGATAGATAGATAGATAGATAGATAGATAGATAGATAGATAGATAGATAGACGCAAAAACCACTGAAAACGAGAAAGCCGATATGGTAACTGAATTTCTTCGTGAAATTTGAGAATAAAAGTAAAGATGAAAACTGGAAATGAAGGCAGCAGAAGAAATAGGATTCCGCCGTTTGCTACATGCCCGAGTTTTCCTGAATATTTGTGAGATTAAACGATAATGTTAATGCCAATATACGCCGTAATATTATAGTTAAACTTATCTATCATCTAACCGTGGACGTGACTAAAGGAACTTTGAAAAAAGTCGTTTAAGAAAGAAAATGATGATAAATATAAAAATAGAATCACAGACATGTTCACGTAGTTCAATGTCCAAATTATGAAGATAAGTCAAGAGAACCAGAATGGTTAGCAGTTGGTAACGACACGAGATCAGTATCTTAATGGACCACTGACTAGCTTATCTCTAAACTTGTAGACCACAAGGTGGTCTTTATCCTTTATCAAGTATATTTTAAATTAGCTTATACTATAAGAAAAACATATAATGTTGATCATTTGAGTTAGGTTTCAATCCAGCATTATCTGCTACTCTAGAAAAGAAACTGTATGATAACTACCGACTGTAGTCATTCAATGCTAACTGCTAACAGAAACTAATAACTTATTTGAAATTAGCTTATGCTATAAGAAAAATACATAATGTTGATCATTTGATAACAATTTAATTATTTAATAAACATTATCACACACTGTTCAACTAGCACTTCGTGAATTTAAGCGTAGTACTAGATTGGCAAGTAGGTCTCATAATGTTTCTGCTGAAATTGTTATATCCAACCCTAAGTTCTATTCAAGTAGTTTCTTCACTCGCACTTCTTACCTGTGAAACCCTTTTCTGGCTTCTTCTTGTCTTGACAACTGCGATCTTCAAAGATATAAATACAACTCTAATCGTTATCTTTTGCCTACTTGAAATTGTTCTTTTAGTACCCTTTCTCCTCAGTAAAGTTTTCTCACTTTTCTTCACTCTCAGTAACCCTTTGCTTCTTAGTGACTTTATCGCCTTGCTTAGTGTGAGAGGATTAAACAAAAGTAAGTATTTCTGGCATCTTAATTTCAGATGCATTTTATTGCAACTCTCATACTATTCTTCAACGGCCTTTCAGAGATCTCCAACGAGAATCGAACCGGCGTTCATTCTGTTACTTAATTTATAAATAGAATGACAGTTAAAAGCCAGATAAAACGGCCTTCGTGTATTATTAAATTCATACTTGCACAGCCTCATCCAGGTATGGATAAGGTATGGATAGGTAAATTGTCGCCATTTTATAATTTTAATTTCGCGCATGCGCATCGTTTGTTTTTGATTCTGTCGACTGCACAGTATAGTAGGGTCAGTTGGTGAGAAAAAGAGTACCATGACGCAATTCACTCTGCCAGGAATTTGGAAAAGGCATCATGTACTACTTGGCATTCAAACCGGAAGCTCCAATACAAACATTTCAGTGTGTTTGGGTGTCAATCTGAGGAGAATGCAGAGGATTCGGAAAGAGTTGGATGAGTCTAATGGTGATTACGAAGGTATGGCAGCTCAGAAATCTCACTCTGGTCGTTCTGATCTGAACTCCCGAATTTGTTGATGAGGGCCTCAGACTCAACAGGGAGGCCTGCATCGTGGCTTGAGGAGGTAGTGCTGCCCTGGGTCAACAGGGTGGCTAATGGAAGACCCTATGTCTAACAACAGGATTCTGCACCATGCCACACAAGCAGGAGAACCCAGTCTGACTGTCTTACAATTTCTGCGACCACATCATCACTTAAATCTGGCCACCTAACTCCCCAGACTGCAACCCCGTTGATTATTATGTGTGGGGCTCAGTTGAGCAAGAGACAATAAAACTCCTTGTATCAGCAAAGATG